GAATACAAAATAACTTAATAGTCAGCTAAGGTTAGAAGTTATACTAAAAAGTCTACTAATAGAATCAAAATAAAAGAAACTTCTTTCATTGGATTTATTTATTTATGTGGTTTTTTGAGATGGCATTTCTCATGTAGCCTTGGCTGTCTAAAACTAATTCTGTAGACCAGGCTAGCCTCAAATTCACATAGATCTGTCTGCCTCTGCCTCCCAAGTGCTGAGATTAAAGGTGTGCACCACCACCTCCTGGCTCATTGATTTTTTTTTTTTTTAAGTCTGGTAAGTGAGCTAGATAAGTGGCTCAGCGGGTAAGAGTACTTATTCTTGCAGAGGACCCAGGTTTGATTCCTAGCACACAACTATCCATAACTACAGTTCTAAGGGGCCCAATGTGCTCTTCTGACTTCCTGGACACCAGGCACTCATGGTGCACAAATAAACATACATGTGAGCAAAATACCCATACACATTGTCTTAGTTACTGTTCTATTGCTGTGGAGAGCCACCATGACCAAGGCAACTCTTATGAAAGAAAGAATTTAACTGAGGGTGGCTTACAGTTCAGAGGTTAGTCCATTGTCATCATGGTAGGGAGCACGGTGGCATGTAGGCAGGCACTGGAGCAGTAGCTGAGAGCTACATCCTAATTGGTATGCAGAGAGAGAGAGAGAGAGAGAGAGAGAGAGAGAGAGAGAGAGGAGCAGGCCTAGCCTGGTGTGGGCTTTTGAAACCTCAGCCCACCCCCAGTGACAAACTTACTCCAACAAGGCCACACCTCCTATTCCTTTTGTTGTTGTCGTTTTGGTTTTATTGAGATAGGGTTTCTCTGTGTAGCCTTGGCTGCCCCTTTTCTCTCAAACTCTATGTTTTGTATTATTTTTTTGTTCAGCTTGCTCTCTTTTCATTATAGACTTGCAGAAGAGTGCTTACTAATAACCATATGACAGAGCCAATACTAAGGCTGTCTTGAAATCTCCTCTGTCAATGCCATTAATCCAAAACTGTTGAATTTAGCTTCAGACAGATTTTTAAGACAAGGGTAAAAACAACCACATCCTTTGCCAAAATTATCACAAAAATGATCTCTAACCCTCTCATGGTACGAGTGTTATGTTCACGGGGTCCATGGAAAGAAGGCTCAGAGGCAACTTAAGAATAACTTTAGCAGCAAGGCAGTGGTGGTGCACTCCTTTAATCTCAGCAACCGGGAGGCAGAGGCAGGCAGATCTCTGAGTTCCAGGAAAGCCTGGTCTACAAAACTACACAGAGAAACTCTGTCTCAGAAAAAAAAAAAATGACTTTAGGTTTTCTAGGCTGCAGGGGGACCCGGCCTCCTTTCCCTTCACCCAGAGCAGTTTTATTTTTCTCAATATTTACACTTTAGCCAGTTGATTCCCATATGCTCAAAACAACCTGAATAAAGCTTCCAAAAACACAGTGCTAAGCGTGAATTCTTGATTCATCAGGTACCACAGTTTTCTGGGTTTCCCAAATGAAGTTTTGCATAGGCTCTGTATCCCTGGCAAACTGTCAGACAAGGTTCACATAGAGCAACAAGAGAAACAACGGGTATCAGCAAAACAAAAGATGGATTAGGACTAGGTGTTGATACTCCAGAGCTAGGCCAGGTGTAGCTCAGTGGGGATTAGGTGCTAATACTTTGGAGCCAAGCCAGGAGTAGCCCAGCGAGAACGCTGTCCCATAACCTATCCACTAATACTCTTCCCCTCTGAAACTTAAGCTGGGCCTTAAGTTGACCTTTGACTTAAACTGACCTCAGCACTGTCTACATGGTCCTACTAGGCTGGTCCAGTAAGTACCACTTAAAGCATGCAACTACTTTTCTTGCCCAAAGTCTCTGAGTCTTTCATAGTCCCCCCCAACAAGCATCATGGTCAGGCCCATTGCAGCAATACCCCATTCCCTGTTACCAACTTCTGTCTTAGTTGCTGTTCTGTTGCTGTGGAGAGACACCATGACCAAAGCAATTCTTATAAAAGAAAGCATTTAATTGGGGGTGTCTTACAGTTTCAGAGGTTCAGTCCATTACCATCATGGTGGGGAGCATGGTGGCTTGCAGGCAGGCACTGGAGCAGTAGCTGAGAGCTACAACCTAATCTGTGTAACAGTAAATCTTTCCACCAGCCACCCAAGTTCTGCCTGCCGAGTTAGGGCCCCAAATAACACAGAGAGATTAATATTAGGTATAATGCTGCTGGCCAATGACTAGGATTTCTTATCTGCTATCTCTGTCTTAAGTATCAACCATAATTATTAATCTATATATTTTATAAAGACTTATCTGATCAAGGACACTGGCGGCATGTGTCCTCTCTTGTCGGGCTCACATGGTGGCTCCAGAGAAGAGAGCAGGAGGGAAAGGAAGAGAAGGACTTCCTGCTTGTCCCTGCCTATATTCTGAGTCGGCCTGCTATGTCACTTCCTGCCTGGATCACAAGACTACTGCATTTCCCAGAATCCTCCTTGACTCCTAGTCCCACCTAACTGGCTGCCTCATTGGCTCAACAGTGTTTTATTCAACAACCAATAAGATAAACATACAAAGAAGATCATCCCCCATCAAATCTGTAGGCATAAACAAAGAGTCTGGGCCTGGTGTGGGCTTTTGAAATTAAAGCCCACCCCCAGTGACACACTCCAAGACCATAGATACTCCAACAAAGCCATATCCTAATAATCCTTTCAAACAGTGCCACTCCCTGGTAACTAAGCATTCAAATAAATGAAGCTATGGAGGCCATTCTTATTCAAACCACCACACACATAAAATATTTCATTTAAAAAATATTATGGTCGTTTTCATAGTTATTGAAATGATAAAATTCAACTCCCTTCCTTATAAGAAGATCCAGTAAATCAGTAATAAGCTTTTAATCCCTCTAGGGTTAAAGTGCATTTTTTCTGTGTTAGAATCACACCCAGTGTACTGCCAACAAGCATTCTGTCACTGAGCTACAATTTATTTTTATTTACTATTCATTGGTGTTTTGCCTGAATGTGTATCTATGTGAACGTGTCAGAAGCCCTGGAACTGGAGCTACAGACAGGTATGAGCTGCCATGTGGGTGCTGAGACTTGAACCTGGGTCCTCTAGAAGATCAGCCAGCGCTGATCCCTGAGCCAACTCTCCAGCCCCAGTTCCTGATTTTAAAATTTTTTTTTTCTTAAAGAAAAAAATCTCATGTATCCCAGGCTGGCCAAGAACTTCTGATTCTCCTTCTTCCATCTTTTTAGTGCTTGGATTACAGGCTGGAGATTAAACCCAGATGGACTTTGTTTATGCTAGAGAAGCATTCTAACAACTGACCTTTATCATCAACCCTTAAAATACCTCTTTAATGGAAGACATTCCCACTAAAAGTGAGGTCATAATGAAAAATCCCACTAGCACTGTTTAGCATTTGTCTTAGGTTCTAGCTACCACAGGTAGATGAATAAGAAATCAGATGCATTAGGATTTGAGAGAAAACTATTGGTGTATAGCATGCTTGTGTAGCTAGAAAACCACACGTCATGTCTGAAAACACAGAGGAGTAGAGTAATAGGATGTTAAGCTGATAAACAGAAAGTAGCTTGCACATATGAAGACAATTTACCACTTAAAAGGGACAATGAAAACCCCACTAAAATAGTAACATGAAAGATTAAATGCCTAGGAATAAACTTCTGAAATGTGGAAAATTTGAAAGGATAAAACAGTTGATTTTAATGAATAGAAAGAAACATTTTGTAAGCTATGAAGACTTAACATAATAAGAAGGCCATTTCTCCCAGGACTGATATATTTCCTACATCTCCTAAGTGCTAGAATTATAGGCATGCCCCACCAGGCCAAGCTGAGAGAGCTGGGGCAGCAAACCCAGGGCATTGTGGATGACAACTCTATCAACAGAGCTATAACCTCAGTCCCTTAACTTAATACTTATTCAAGAGTTGGTGTACAAGCTGGGCAGAGGTGGCACACGCCTTTAGTCCCAGCACTCAGGCAGGAGGCAGGAGCATCTCTGAGCTCAAGACCAGCCTGGTCTACAAGATCTAGTTCCAGGATAGCTGGAAAAACACTGGGGGGAGGGGAGAGTTGGTATACAAAACAAAAACTGATGGTAGTTTCTTAAAATTGAAAGCAAGGGCTGGAAAGATGGTTCAGAGTTTAAGTGTACTAACTGCTCTTCCAGAGGTCCTGAGTTCAATTCCCAGCAACCACATGGTAGCTCACAACCATCTATAATGAGACCTGGTGCCTTCTTCTGGCCAGCAGGCATACACGTAGGCAGAACACTGTATATATAATAAATAAATACGTCTTTTAAAAAATTGAAACCAAAACAGAAACCTGACATTATTAAACCTATTTAATAGTTTTTATACAACATTATAAGAAAATGGAATTAAGAGGAGTAGATATTAGAAAAGGAGGAAAACAAAGACTAAATAGATCCACTAGGTACATGGGGGGGGTGGCTTTTGGGAGGGTGGTTTTGTGTTTGTTTTAGAAACAGGCTCTTACTGTGTATCGTGTTTAGCCTGGTATCATATAGACCACAAATTTAAAGATCTGCTTGCCTTTGCTTTCAAGTTCAGGGATTAAAATGTGAATCACTGTGCCCTGCTCCACCTTACTTTTTGAGGCAGAGTCTCTCACTAAACCTAGTACTTGCTGTTCATGCTTGATTGGCTGGCCAGTGAGCCTTGTGTCTGCCTCCCACCTGTGGTTACAGGTGCATATCGTGCATATCGCCACTCTTGGTTTTACATAGGTACTGGATTTAAACTTAGGTCCTTATGCTTACCTAGCAAACCCTGAGTTCACTGAGCCATGTGCCTTGGCCAAGACTTTATTGTGAAGTATAAGCTAAATACAGAAAAACCTGTATGTTGTAAAAGCTAAAGTTTTCATCAAGGTTGTTGTTTAATAAGAAACCTGGCTTTTCCTGGCCAGTGTTGTCATAACTCAACAGTAACATTCTCTATATCAGCAGACAATGGGAGTAATGACAGGGATGAAGATCTTCAGAAACAAGATTGTAGAGAGAAATCTTCAGATACTGATGCAGTGGCTTGTTTCTGGGTTTCTAAGTGACCTCCAGATTGCCAAGAAGAAAGAACAAACACACCCATTCCACAGCAGAAGGAAATTGAGAAGCCTTCTAGTTACAGTTGAAAATAATGCTCTACCTGAAGATCTCTCAAAATATGTGGGCATTAATATTACTGTGCTTTCTCAAGATGAGAAAACAAAGGCGTTGTACATGTGCCCTGTGTGGGAAGCAGTTTTATGAAAGTTCTTACCTTATTTCCCACCAGAGGAGTCACACTGGTGAGAAGCCCCATGACTGTAGCCACTGTGAGAAAGGATTCAATCATAAAACAAACCTTAATAAGCATAAGTGAATCCATACAGGGGAGAAACGCTATTCCTGCTCTCAGTGTAAGAAAAACTCATCAGAATTTTCATCAGAGTTGCCATAAAGGAATTCATGTAGGGAAGAAAATATTTAAGTGTCCAGAATGTGGGGAAAACCTTCCCCCAAAATGAAGAATTTATGTTTCATCTGCAGAGTCATGAGGCTGGGAGACCATATAGCTGAAAAAAAAAAAAAAAAAGGGGGAGAAGATTCAGTCGGTTGTCAGTCTACATCTGGCACAAAAGAACTCACTCAGCTTCTAAGATCCAGGAGCAGAAATGGGATCAGGAAAAGTCCTGCTTCTGTCTGAAAAGTTTCACAAAGAATTATGAATCCCAAATATTTATAAACTAAAGAACATTTCTAAATAAATGGGTCAAAGGAAAAAAATTCATGTAAAACACAGCAAAAATAAAAATAAAATTTGGTATATTAAAGTTTGTAAGATATTGATATCTCTTCAATATTGTACTTGAAGTTCTAGCTAGAGCAATAAGACAAGAAAAGGAGATCAAGGGGATACAAATTGTAAAGGAAGACGTCAAACTTTCACTATTTGCAGATGATATGATAGTTTACATAAGTGACCCAGGAACTCCTACAGCTGATAAACACCTTCAGCAAAGTAGCAGGATACAAAATTAACTCAAAAAAATCAGTAGCCCTACTATATACAGATGATAAACACAATGAGAAAGAAATCAGAGAAACATCGCCCTTCACAATATCCACAAACAACATAAAATATCTTGGGGTCACGCTAACCAAAAAAGTGAAAGACCTGTACAGTAAGAACTTTGAGTCTTTAAAGAAAGAAATTAAAGAAGATACCAGGAAATGGAAAGATCTCCCATGCTCTTGGATAGGTAGAATCAACATAGTAAAAATGGCAATCTTGCCAAAAGCAATCTATAGATTCAACGCAATCCCCATCAAAATCCCAACACAGTTCTTCACAGACCTTGAAAGAACAATACTCAATTTTATATGGAAAAACAAAAACTCAGGGTAGCCAAAGCCTCTGGAGGCATCACCATCCCTGACTTCAAGCTCTATTATAGAGCCATAGTCCTGAAAACAGCTTGATATTGGCACAAAAATAGACAGATAGACCAATGGAATCAAATTGAAAACCTTGATATTACCCACACACCTATGAACACCTGATTTTCAACAAAGAAGCTAAATCTATACAATGGAAAAAAAGATAGCATCTTCAACAAATGGTGCTGCACAACTGGATTCAGACATGCAGAGGATTGCATATAGATCCATCTATCCAGCCAGAACCTGGAAGCAACCTAGATGCCTCTCAACTGAAGAGTGGATAGAGAAAATCTGGTACATTTACACAATGGAGTACTACTCAGCAGAAAAAAGCAACGGAGTCTTGAAATTCGCAGACAAATGGGTGGAAGAAGAAACCATCCTGAGTGAGGTAACCCAGTCACAAAAAGACAAACATGGTATGTACTCACTCATATATCAATTTTAGACATAGAGCAAAGGATTACCAGCCTATAATCCTCTTCACCAAAGGAACTAGGAAACAAGAAGGACTCTAAGAGAAAAATGCATGGACCCTGGAGAATAGGAAGGGGCAGGATCTCCTCAGCAAATTGGGAGCATGAGGGTAGGGGAAAGGGAGCTGCCAGAATGAGAGGAGGAGAAGAGGAGGGGAGAGGAGGAAATTGAGGAGCAGAAAGTTTGAGTCGGGGTGGGGGGAAGAATAGAGGAGAGCAGGATGAGAGATACCATAACAGAGGGAGCCATTATAGATCTGAGGAGAGATCTGGCACTAGGGAGATTTCCAGAGATCTACAAGGATGACACCAACTGACAATCTAGGCAATGGTGGAGAGGCTACCCTAAATGCCCTTCCCCTATAATAGGACTGATGACTACTTTATATGCCATCCTAGAGCCCTCATCCAGTGGCTGATGGAAGCAGAGGCAGACACCCACAACTATACACTGAACTGAACTTTGGAACCCAGTTGCAGAGAGGGAAGAATGAGGATCAAAGGAGTTGGGACCAGGCTGGTGAATCCCACAGAAACAGCTGGCCTGAACAAGGGGGAGCACATGGACCCCAGACTGCTGCCTGGGAGGTCAGCACGGGACTGATCCAAACCGCCGAACATGGATGTCAACAAGGAGGCCTCGGGACTCTATGGGGCCCCTAGTAGTGGATCAGTATTTTTCCCTGGTGTAAGAAGGGACTTTGAGAGCCCATCCCATGTGAAGGATGCTCTCTCAGCCTGGACACACGGGGGAGGACCTAGGTCTGGCCCAGGATGGTGATGTGGAATTTGGGAAGCCCCATAGAGGGCCCTACCCTCTATGGGGAGCAGAGGGGGGAAGGGGTTAGTGGGGGATTGAGAGGGAGGGAAGGGAGAGGGAGAAGATTGACAGGTGAAACAAGCTTGTTCCTAATTTGAACTAATAAAAAATAATAAAATAAAAATTTTAAAAAAATTGCAAGATAAAGCAAGAGTGGTGACAGGACATCTCTGCCCTCTGGTACATGTCTGAGCAAGGAGATCTGAAGCCAATGGCTTATAGCTTTCCATTTCTGTAAGACCTGAAAATTAAGAAAAGGGAAATTTATTTTGACTCAGCATCCAAGTTCAGTTTATAGTTGCTTGACCCTGTTGCTTTGGACCTATGGAAGCTCCCTATATCAAGAAGGGCATATGGGGTGGAGAGGATCTATTTACCTCATGGGATCCTGTGAGCAAAGGAAGACACAGAAGAGAGGTTGAAGTCCTCTGTCCCCTAAGGATGTGCTGACTTCTTTGCACTAAGCCTTACCCCCAAAGGTCCCACCATTCCCCAATAGCAACATAAACCTGTAACACATGAACCTGAAACACATGTACCAGAAATCACTGAGAAAGCATTACCACTAATCCCATTGACATTAAAAGAATGATGAAAGGGAGATGGATAGATGGATTAGTGGTTAAAAGAATGGCTGTTATTCCAGAAGACTCAGTTGGTTTCCAGCACCCACATAACAGCTAATGCCTGAACTCCACTTCCAGGTGACCCAGTGCCCTCATCTGGTCTTCTTGGGAACTGTACACACATAATACAGGCATACATACAGCCAAAACACCCATATACATAAATAAAAATCTAAAATTTTAAAAGAATAGTAAAGGAATCCTATGAAAAGACCTACTCACAAATTGGAAAACCTAGATGAAACAGACCATTCTTTTAAAGACACAGTCTATATGTCAAACCTTACACAGGAAGAAATGTATGAAGAGTTGTAATCACCTTGCTGGGTTGGGTGTTCTCAGATGTGCTCAAATCAAAGACTTGTGAGAAAGGAAGCTTGGTGTTATCACCCAGGATCTGGGTGGGCACAGTTTGGAGTTTTCCCAGTGAACATAATTTGATAGAAGAGCTGTAGCAAGTAAGGTCTCTATGATTGTGACATCACAAGAGATAATTCTGCAATGACCGCTGAGAACATTATCAAGAATAGTGCCCTATTCTAGAGGAGGTGGTGCACACCTTAAGTCCTGGTACTTGGAAGGCACAGACAGGCGGATCTACATGAGTTTGAGGCCAGCTGGGTCTACAAAATGAGTTCAAGGACAGCCAAGGTTACATAGAGAAACCTTGTCTCAGAAAACAGTAACACACACACACACACACACACACACACACACACACACACACACATATATATATATATATATGTGTGTGTGTGTGTGTGACCTGACCACAAAATGACCTCCATTCAGTGCTCCAAGATGATTCACACGAATGGCTACTGTTTCTTAGCCAGAGCTCAAGCATTACCTGTTCCTTTCTTCTAAAGGAAATACACCAAGAGAACTAGTCACAAGCATCCTGAATAACAGCATCCCATCTGAAGCAACAGTCAGTCCCCATTTCTTTTCTGACATCACCCAAAGAAACTTAGCTTATCATAAATTCTTTTAAGCAGCTTCCAGCTGAGACATCTCACTGTTGCTCCAGGCATGTGCATTCTTTTCTCTTGTACTCAGTAATAAAGCATAGGTGTGTTTGAGGTGCCTTTTGTCAGGGGGGCACTCACGATTGAAATGAAGGGATTTGATTGAAGTGTTTGTATTGGGCAGGAGAGATGTCTCAGCAATCAATCACTTGCTCTTCTTCCAGAGGACCCATATCAGGTGACTCACACACACCTATAACCCTCTTCTCTCTTCTTGGACACACACATGTGGCATGTAGACACACATTTTAAACTTTGAAAAATTTTATATTTATTGTAACATGACTAGGAATCAAACCTGGGCCTTGTACGTGCTAGGTAGGCACTCTACAACTGAGCTGCTTTCCACCTTTCACCTATTTAGTCTACAACAGGGATTTTATTCTCCCAAGAGCAATAGTAGATGCTTTCCTAACAAAACTAAAATGTTTACTTTCACACAGTAGAGTAAAAATGGTTTTCTTGGAAATTATTTCTTTATATGATTTTCTTAGCTTTACGGAGTAGATGAAAATTTCATGGTAAGCACTCTCCTTAAAGCCCCTTTCATGTCCTTGTTCTTCAGGCTGTAGATGAAAGGGTTCAGCATGGGAGTCACCACTGTGTACATCACAGCAGATGCTGTATCTTTCCCAGCTGAGTGAGAGGAGGAAGGGTTGAAATACAGAGATATGATGGTGCCGTAGAAGAGGCAGACCACAGCCAGGTGGGAGCTGCAGGTGGAGAAGGCCTTCCACCTTCCCCTTGTGGACGAGACTCTCAGGACGGCACAAGCAATAAGGACATAAGACACGAGGATACAAACAAACGGGGCTATCATTAACAGCCCTGCAACAAAAAGAATCATCAGCTCATTGAGGTGTGTGTCAGAGCAGGAGAGTTTCAGGAGGGGAGTGACATCACAGAAGAAGTGGGGAATGATGTTGTCTGCACAGAATGAAAGTCGAGCCATGAGCAGGGTGTGCAACAGAGCATTCAGGCTGGCTACCACCCATGACCCAACTACCAGCAGGGCACAGAGCTGATGGGTCATCTTGGTTGCATAGTGTAAAGGGTGGCATATGGCCACATACCGGTCATAGGCCATCACAGCCAGCAGGAAATTGTCCATGACAGCAAACACACACAGAAAGTAAATTTGCATGAGACACCCAGAGAAGGAAATGGCTTGATTCCTGAGTATGTGTATGGCCATCACCTTGGGGGCAGATGTGGAGGAGAAGCAGACATCCACAAAGGACAGGTAGATGAGGAAGCAGTACATGGGGGTGTGCAGGTGGGAGTCTGTGCCGATGGCCAGGATGATGAGCAGGGTTCCCAGGACAGTGACCAGGTACATGATGAGGAAAAGCAGGAAGAGGAGCTGTTGTTGCTGCTGGGGCTGCCTGGAGAGTCCCAGGAGGAGGAACTCGGAGACCATAGACTGGTTGGTGCCTCTCATGAGTCTGAGCCCAGCTACAGAGAATGGAGACAGAGGTCAGAATGCAGTCTTCAGGTTTGGATGCTACAACCAGGTTTATATTAAGCCT